CGCACACTTGGAAGCCTATCTCATCCTTGTTCTTGGCAACCGCGTATGCGACAACAAAAGTGGTGGAGGGAAAACGAATAGAGTCAACACCCAGGATATTATCATAATGCACTTGCCCGCTTCAAAAACTGGTGCAGAACGATTTTGCCAAACCGCACCAAAGCAGCCGCACTGCCACGCCCCACCGGTCCGCAATGATGAGGACTGTACATGTTATCAGTATAGAACAGTTGCTAACCGGTACTCTATGGCAGGCACCTGGCAAACACTGCGAAAATTGAGTATTTCTACCAGCGAATAAAGAAAAACTTGTTTGTTTTTGAAAATCGTGCACACAACAATGAAGTAAACATGCAAAGTTCGTAATAGTCAGTGAGAAGAACAAAAATTGTCAAGACTTGCTGCTCACCACCTGTCCGCAACGCCGACCCTCTTCACCGTCACATACAGGAGTGTATTTTGAATACTCCTTCACATATCCATATCTAATAGACGTGAATACTCCCAAGTCGGCGACAACTCTAGACAGAATTGGGCGCTGTTTTAACGACGAGGGCATTCTGCTTCATAGCATTGCCAACCATCTATACTCTTTTTCGAGTTGACACGTTTGGGATGTCGCATAGACGATGTTGCGCACTTCACAAGCGCTTCACAAGTTAACCAGAGCAAATTTGTAAAACCGCAACCAGAAACATATTATAATAATATAAAATCCCCTTCCCCCCGTCGAAACACGTACCAACAGCTTGCACGTTTGAAGATTATTCTATGATATGCGCGTTGAAGCGCCGTTCACTAGAAAGTATACGCGAAAATCTGGCGTCCATCTTGCCCTGACCTTTAACTCCTTCTAGAGGACTCATGGGGGGCTGTGTCTCAAGCCAGATATAAACGTGGCTCTAAATTTGTCGATAGACACTATCGCTACAGCGCCATCGGAATCTTTTAGAATTTCCAATGAATGCACAACACAAGTAGTTCCGACAGCCCTCGTTCGTTTGCATAGGCGTTTATCTCGAGAATGCATGTTATTAGGTTGTCCGGAAAGTTCTCAGCGTTTTGTGCACCTATTTTTTGTACATTCACTGCTGATTAAAAACTCATTCTGCCTTGCTTCTCAGTAGCACATCCTGTAGAGAATTTCTTGCGCTATCTGATGTATGATTGCCGTTTCACCGTTGCTCAATAAACCCCATTTTTTCAAAGGTTTTCAAGCATGTGAAAAGAGCACTTCGGACGATTTTTTTCTTCGACTATAAATTGGCAATCCGCAATCGAAACAGCTCAACAAATTAACCAGGTGTGGGGGCCCAATAGTGCTAGAGAAAGCACTGTGCGGCAATCGGCAACGCTCAACAAATTTCGTTCTCACAGATTCAGCCTTGAAGATGAACCTCATAGCGTCCACCTTAAAGCAATATCTGACGAGGATTTTAGGGGATTTTGGAGGCTGACCCATCCCAAACAGTTCGAGAGATAGCAGAAGAGCTAGGCGTTGGCAAATCCACTGTTGCAGATGGTCTGGAACGCATTGGAAGGTGAAAAACTCGACAATTGGGTGCCCCACAATCGGAGTGACCGGCAGGAATCGGCACGTCTCGAGGTTCCTTCTGCATTGCTTTTGCGCAGCAGAAACGACCTGTTTTTGGACCGAATTGTCACCTGTGATGAAAATGTCATGTATGATAACGGAGCGTTCCGGACAGTGTTGGATTTCGACTAACCACAGTAATTTTCAAATCGCCCTTCTACCGAAAAAAAAGATTCTGGTTCACGCTTCGTGAATCGGCGGGGGGATTCCACTTAACTTTTTATCACCAAGCCAAACCATCACATCAGAACCCTACTGTGAAGAAATCGACGTATTGTACCGAAAATTTTGTCAGATGCAGCCAACACTTATCAAAAGAAAGGGTCCGATTCCTTTGCATGACAACGCCCGCCCACACGTTTCACAAATCACTATCCATAAATTGAACGAATTGGGGGTTGAAGTTCTACCTCAACCGCCATATTCTTTCAACCTTTCGCCAACCGACTATCACCTTTTCTAACATTTTCAGAACCCCTTGCTGGAAAATACTTCATCAATCAGGACCAGGCAAAAAAGCCTTCGTGGATTTCGTGAGTGAATTTTACAAAACCACCCAGTTATTTTAGCTTTGATGAATTTCTCGACTGCTATCACACTGGCAAAAGTGTGCTGATTCGAATGGTGCCTATTTCGATTAAATCCGATGAGTATTAAAAAAGTTACGATCGTTCAAAGTGAAACACCCAACGCTGAGAACTTTCCGGACAACCAAATACTAATACTTAGTGCACATGCAGCTAGTACTCTAGTACTCTGTGTACAGGACAGCGCTGGAAATCGGGAAAGCTGGGCGGAGACCTGGTTCCTGACCTGGATCCAGTCTATTTTGTGACTAAGTGATGCTAAATTTGAAGCGGAACTGAATCTCATATCTAGGAGCTTGGTGTTACAATGAGGGGAACTGAAGTGAAAAAGTGAAGAAAATAGGGCAGTTGATGGCTCCCATCAGCCACAAGGGCTATCGTGCTTCAGTGAACTATTTCCCATGCCCTTGTGCTGTTTACACCAGCCATCCTATTTATTGTGCACTCCAGAGATGATTCATAGTTCACGTGATCGGACAATTGCGCCTTTACTTTTGGTGCAACACGTGCCCGACCATTCGATCGACTCTGATTTTCTATCAAAATGCACCATTCCCCAGGTCGCTGAAATAAGTCGGAATGTGGTAGTACCGAGAAGGGTTGATAATTTGCCCCATACTCGACTAATTCTCACAAGCCCTTTCTGAGTCGTCCATATACGGATGCTCAAGGCCATGATGGATTATTTTCATCTGTTATTACGTGTGCATTTCTGATCGGACTTCTAACTCAAGTCTTCTCTCCTATGCTTGGAAAACTACCTCAGTAGGTGAAGAAAGAACCAGCCAGAGAGGCGTGCTTGGTAATTGAAAGTTCTGCGACAGGAAGCTTTTTTTTAATGGGCTCTTGAGAGACTGCTCAGTTTTCTGAAACAGACCAGGTGAACGTTCCCACAAGGAGTTGATCGTTTGACGTCCTTGTCAGGGCAGAATGTTGATGAACATCGTGTTGCGGCACCATACACTCCTAAAATACCTCACAGAAGCATATCCTTCAGGTTAAGTTTGAAGCATGCGGTCACAGTGGGAGGACCTACCAAGTCCAGGGAATTTCGAGTATACTACTGATGATTTTGACATTGAGGATCGCTGCCTGGTTTAGAGGGTGAATTAGTGTGGTAGCGGCAAGTGCCAAACATGACCGACGAGAATGTCTAGCCGCAGGGGGCTCCACCTGTCCAAAATGCCTAAATTTCATTCCTCTAAGGTAGGTAATAGATTTGGGTATCACCCTTTGTCTGGGAGGACATAACTATTGACATGGCTCTTTACTCAATAAGTAGAGCATGAGTAGGGCATACCGCATGCAGAAGTCATTAAGATTCTGAATCAAAGTAGAGCTGCCGCATCCCAAAAGAGGTCGGTCTTTATTTTTTTCCTTTCATCGCCTGGTCTCTGACTCTCTTCTCACGAAGTAGCTTTCGTCTCGTCCTATGTTTTCACCGTTTCCCCTCCTCAGAAAGCTTATTTAAACTTTCGTTTTTAGAAGTTTGTTTTTTTCGAATACCAGTGACCAGCCACTACGATCTCATTCATCATCTACTTATTGAGTCACGATGTCGCGCAGGTAATAATGGAGTGATTTCCCTTCATTGTTAAAATGAACTGCTCCTTAGATAACGAGTTAAGAGCGCGGGACAGTAAGGATTCTTAGCATCCAAGAAGGCACTTGAGCCCGAGGCTGAGGTAAAAGCAAAGTCTGCAATCATTCGCCATCACAGGTAGTGGATTAGGGGTTTGCATATAGACGACAAGGTTCTGAGTAAGTTCGATAGTGAAGAAAAAGCAGAAAAAAAACATGCCAACTGCCCTAGATAGAACCCCATTTCTCTCAGTTTGTACGTGTCCAAGTAACTCCATCTCCATCACTACGCTCCCATCCGCACAGTTTTCCCTGATGAGAACTATACGGCCGTACGAAGGACGTTTTTCATGCTTCGTCCTGCAGCTTCGTTTTCACTGAAAGGCGGGCCTTGAAGGCGGAGTCTGGAGGCGGAGTCACTGGAAAAAAGGAGGCGTCACTGAACCTATATTGCGCTATAGCGCCCCTCCCTTACAATTTTTTGCCGCGAAACCGGTACAAGGTTGTTCGTCGCGGACCACACTACCCTCCCGACGCCATATCTCCAACTTCTATACCTGATCGCGGTCCGCACCTCCAGAAGGATGCTTTGCAAATTCCAATCGCCTTTGCAGGGCAGTAACTAAGATGTACCTTTTTGCGGCTTAAAAGTGAGCAGAAAGCGCACCGCAAGCATGGAATTAAGGCCCATATCGGAGTGCTACCGCGCGCATATGGTGCCTTGCTGCGTGCTCTATCGCCGCTTGGTTGTCTTGTAGATGCTGCGCTCACTCATCTTCGCATACACGTAGGATGTTCATGATTAGAAGGGATTTAATCATGGCGTTTTCAAATTTCTTTTGGGCTTTTTTTATCCTTGCTGAGTCGCGTAGCCCCTTCACATTATCAGTTTAAGCCCCCGCTGCCCACAATTTGGGATCGCTGAATGTGCTCGCCGGTTGTCACTATCCATAAAAATTGGTGTGGTACTTGCGTGGAGCGTTGGTCAACTTCTACACGTCAGTTTTTTGGTGAAAAGGTAGGGGCGCATTAAGTGACCAAATGGCAGTAAGAATAAGCTCGGCATCAAGTCAGTTCTTATACACGTCTCTGATTAGGGCACTAAATAACTGAAGGAACTTGCGAGGTCCTCATGATGTTTTTGGGTTTCGATTTCCCTCTACCTGAACATGATTTTGCTACGGTAATTAGGACTGTAAAAGCTGAGCAATTCAAATCCGTGTAACAGACTAGCAAAGATGGCTGTTGTAGAATGCTCAGGACTCAGCAGAGCAATTACCTGGTTGGCCGTAAGGTATGTGGTGGATGTGGTTTTCGTGAGGGAGACCGCCAAGGCAGTGGGCACGGCGCTTCTTTAGTTTGCTTTAGCCTGTAGACTGGAGCACCGGAAAAAATGTAGACTACGACATCATGGACATTCATGGCTATCTTACACAGTGCCTTTTGCCGCCAGCTACACCTAGCAACATTGTCATTTGCGGGCGCTACGTCGCACGCGAAGCCTATCAGCGCGACAAATCCTGTAGAGGAGCTGCATAGCGCTTGATTCGGCGCTGAATATATAGATAACAAACAGTTTTGAGTAGCTTCTCGCACGAAATTAAGGGTCCCTTCCGGAGTGATAGGCGTTGTTTTCACCCAAGTTTCATGGTGTACGTCTGAAAAATCGTTTTAATTGCAGATCGTTGCAAATCGTCACCTGTCTCCAACAACATTTCTCTAAGGAAAGCCTTGGAAAAGCGCTGGAGTGCCTGAAGACGAATCCACGTCATTTACTCTTCTACCATCCAGTAAAATTCGAACTTCGACATACATTCCCAGCAGCGAAAGTCTCGCTTTATTCAGAGAAAATCGACGACACAACCTATTGCTGCGCACATTCAAAACATAATTTGGCAAGTGAGCTTAAATTCTTTCCACACTTCCTGTTACCGCCTGCTGTCTTTTTTGATTTTCCATTAATTCCTGCCCAGTAATCCATAGTAGTAAGCGGGCTGGAACCGTGGCTGCCAAGGGTCTTACTAGAATTTGGGATGTGGAACTACAGCAATTCCGGGCAACCATAAATATCAAAAAGAGCTCTCAAGCCTTACATCCTAGTCAATTCAACGTTCCAGCAGATGTCCCAGAAGTCGAGCCGAGCGATCACGTTTGTTTTCCAGAGACACTCCCATTTTCACATATGACGGCCAGTACAAAGAAGCCGACTTCCTCCATGCATTTGAAGAATTTCTACAACGACATGATCTTTTCGAAAGGGAATTTCCGATCATCGTGGGCGAGGACAAAAATCACAAAATCGGTAAGCTTGCTCGCGGCTGAAGTAATCGAAGAAATCTCCCAATTTGATTTGTGATCTCGTTCCTTCTGTAGTGGCTTAACAGTTGTCGGAAGGCATAGTGTCCACATATTATAGCTAGATTGCTGTTATGGTCAGAAACGACATTGCTATCGGTCTCCAAAACCTAGCTCTATTCCAATAGGTATATCAGGAGTGTGCGTTAAAGGCATGAGACCCTGTAATTTAGTGCTGAAAAATAATGTGGCAGGACGCGTATTTGATGGGGAAAGTCGAAGAAGCCGAGTTAACTGGCCGAAAATCTGTGCGGAAAAAAAACCTTTTTTTTTCTGCACCATGATGATGAGCTTTTTGGACGAGTTGCTGTTAGCTAGTAATCAACAACCGCTCTACGGCTGCGCACTCCCGTGTAGCGACGTTTCACACTTCATAAATGGTTGTACTTCATAAGTGAAGCGATAAGAATACAAGCATCGATGGCCAAGCTGTGTGCCGGATGGTTGCGATACGGGCGGTCTCGAGTGCGCATGTTACCGTGTTAACGCCGTAACTGCTGGCGCGTTGTTGGACAAAGGCGCTAACGCATCGCCTGCTAAGATTGGTGTTTGATGACTACGGTGCCGTACGCCGCTAACACGCGGCGTACGGCAAGCGTTTCGCGATCCGGCAGGTGACGGCAGGAAGAGTATGGTATTCAATCTACGTCTGTCAGAGTCCACAAGCGATTTACCAGTTTGTGTTTATCAGATAGCCGATGTTACGATTTACGGATTTATTATCGCAGACCTGATTGAAGAAGAAACTCAGGATATAAGCAGAAAAACACAAACATAACTCCGATAAGTAAAACACAGTAAGGTCATAAACTGAAAAGTCCTGCGAAGTTGAGAGGGAAAACAGCGCAGAAGGGCAGTGGGCGCCAACACTGCAAGTCCATGGCAGCAAATTTAGGACTCCGGATACCAACTTAGTAGGTCCGCCAACCTTGCTGATACCACTCCAACGGCCGCAGACTGAACTTCATAGTAGGGGGGGGAGGATAGTAGAACACAACACATACACAAAAAGCAAGAACATTAGACAGCAATCAAACGGTAAAAAAAACCCAAAAAGAACCACATCATTACATAGCACTCTTATGAAAAAAGTAGAAATTGAACCAGCAACAACAAATCACATCCTGGCCTCACCAACGCGAACATTGTTCAGTTTCTGTTCTCAGAACCAACCACGAGAAATCATAATTTTTCTAAGTTTATTTCTGAACGAAACGGAAGTGCTCGAGTTAACAACCTCTGACGGCAAGTCATTCCAGAGGCTTACAATCCTCTGAGTGAAGGAAATCCGAAACATCAGCTGATCTGGGGGGTTTCTCCCTTAGAATCCTAAAACGGTGGCCCCTGGTGCGACCAATAGTTGGAGATCTTTTGAAGAGGACATCGAAATCTAAGTCCACTAATCCCGCCGAAAGCTTGTAAACAAACTCATAATCACAAAGCCTCCTCCTCATTTCCAGGGAGTCTTCCTTTAGATACTCAAGCCTATCTTTGTACGAAATATGGAAAATGCCCTGACGGGCGAAGATCCGTTCTGTAAATTTGGACTGAACACTTTCAATACGATCAACCATAGCACGGGTGTGAGGGCTCCACAACATGGGACAATATTCCAAAGTTGGGCGCACATATGTAGCAAAGAGCTGGAACAGAATTTTGATGCTTCTCGAAGAGAAGGCGCGCAATATGAAGTTCGCCCTACAATGTGCCAAGTGCACCATCTTGGTAATGTAGTCATTGAACGATAACGAGCTTGTGTACACAATGCCCAAATCTCTAATGGCATCTGGCTCATTGAGCTCAACACCATCAACTGAAAACCTGGGAGCGGGTGTACAGTGTGGACCCATTCGTAGGGCAACCGTTTTATCGGAGGAAATAGTAAGTTCCCATTTTCTAGGCCCAACAACAACGGATATGGCATCAAGAGCATGTTGTAGCAGTGTAGCTTCCCCAAAGCAATAAACCTTGACATCATCCGCATACATAGAACATTGTATGCCAGAAGGAAGACACTTGGGTAAATCATTAATGTAAATAATAAACAACAACGGCCCTAAACAAGAACCTTGAGGAACACCACTTTCAGTTCGGTATATTCTCGAACATGTTCCGTTGAGCAGTACCCTTTGGTGTCTGTTCGAAAGGAACTCTTTTATGAATTTCAAGAGGCACCCTGTAATTCCAAACTGACTTAACTTTGAAAACAAGAGATGTAATGGTATGGAATCAAAAGCTTTAGAGAAATCTATGTAAGCAGCAACCACCAATTCTTTTTTATCGAGGGCATACTGCCATGCCGGAATAGAAGAAAGTAGCGCAGAGGAAGTGGACCTTTTCGGAACGAAGCCGTGCTGGCTCGGAGATAAAAGATGTTGTGCCAGAAGGAAGTCTCTAATTTTGTCACATATGATCCTTTCCATTACTTTACTAAGTGACGAAGTAAGGCAAACAGGCCTGTAGTTCTTGAAGTCACTCTTACTTCTTCGTCACTGTTCTCGGTGCGTGCGGCGGCGCAACTATTTCCTCTCGGTTACTTGATTTTTTTCATAATTTATTCAGCTTCTTTCATCCTTCTTTTGCTTTCGAAAAACTCCCCATCTGAATCTCACACTTTATTTTCTCCCTTGCTCTTGCTCCATTGCCCAGTCAATTCTTAGTTTTCTTTCTTTGCGCTTTCGCTGGACATAGGTGATTCCTTTCGTTGGTGGTCTCATCGATTTCGGACATGGCTCGTGGATCACAGCGCAAATCATCTGATAGAGATCAGGAGAAGGAGCTTCCTCTTTGGGCGTCAATGATGCTGGAACAGTACTCCGCATGTGCTGATCGAATCGAAAAGGCACTTATGTCTTCCTTACCAGGCTTATCGATGGGCCCTGCTATTCCGAACGTTCATTTGAACGTCATTGCCCTGGTTTCATCATTGTGGAGTGTGCGTTTAACGCGTATACCTTACCAGTTTGGTTCCGCTCGGCTAAATGCCGGGCGTCACATGCTGCTGAAAAACGAACACTCAATAAGTGATTGGGAATCGCATTGTAAAGATGATCGGAGCTCGCGGAAGGGAGCTTCTCAAAACCTTCACTAATAGGCAATAATTTTAATTGACAGTGTTCATCTGTATTGAATTTTGTTCTCTGCATCTGCAGTCACTCACTGTCACTGGCATGTCGCAATAACTGAGTTGGTGTTCTCGCCTTCGTCCTCTATAAGTCTGAACGCCCTGCATGCAGCAGTAAGGCCAAAGGGTATTGATGCAACTACTGCTTCGTTATAAATTAATTGTTTGTCCACGAAGTGATGCACATCTTTGTTATTCGGGACGGGTTCACAACCCCAAAAAGCAAGGTGGCGTCTCTTTGTCTTTACATTATCTATGACCTGATTATTTTAAGTTGAGGGAAGGTTTACGCTCCTTTTCGACAAAACTTGAGAGTAATCATTCGTTCATGAAAAAAGGCCTCAGTGAGCAGGTTAGTCACGAGTGTCTAACAACAGGACTCATGCCCATCTTTCGGAGCTTCCCTACCCCCTTCCTCCGGAAGGGTGTCAATAGCTATGTAAGAACGTTGCCACCTCGTTTTTGAGTAGACGACGACTATCAAAATTTTTAGCAATCAAAAACTTCTGATAGTAAGTTCGGGGTATAAGATAGAAGCTTCCGTACTTCGGCATCGAGATCATTGGGCATGCATCTTCTCGACATTCGTAATCGTGGAGTAGGAGTAAATTGGTTCCTTTTCAACTGAAGTAAGGAGTAGTGTTGACTATCTGTTGAATAATGTTTTACCAGTATTACGACGGGAACTTTTTTTAAGCATATCTGCTTTTGGCTCTGTACTCTCCTCATCATTACGGACTGTCGGGGCGGGTCAGTGCGGCTGCGTTTTCCGCGGTGCCAAAGTCTTTCTGCACCAGTTGTTGAAGCGAGCAAATGACATGACAGCATTATATCCTTCGTATTACTCGTTTTCTACCACTTTTTGTCGCATACGCGTTTCAACGAAAAGGCTGAGAACGGT